GGAGAGGGACTTGGGACAAGGCCTGGAGGGACAGGACACAGGGAATGGCTTCCCAGTGCCAGAGGGCAGGGATAGGACAAGAGGACAGAGGTCTTAAGCTACACCAGGGGAGGTTTAGGTTGGACATGAAGAAGAATTTCTTCACAGAAAGGGTGATTCGACATTGGAAGGGGCTGCCCAGGGAGATGGTGGAATCCTCAGCCCTGGAGGTGTCCAAGGGACGACTGGATGTGGCACTTGGTGACTGGGTGATCTGGCGCTGGGTGACAAGGTGGTGTTGGGTCAAAGGCTGGACTCGATGACCTCAGAGGTCTTTTCCAACCTAAATGATCCCATGGTTCTGTTAAACGGGATATTGGGAAGAAATTCCTCCCTGCGAGGGTGGTGAGGGTCTGGAATGGATTTCCCAGAGAAGCTGTGGCTGCCCCTGGATCCCTGGAAGTGTCCGAGGCCAGGTTGGAGCACTGGGCTAGTGGAAGGTGTCCCTGCCCATGGCAGGGGGTGGAACTGGATGATCCTTAAGCTCCCTCCCAAGGCGAACCACTCCACGATTCCCTAATTACGCTCCCACACCGCCCTTAGGGCGGGATGGACCCGCTCCCCCCCCCGCTCCATCCGGGCATTTCCCCCCTCCCCGCCCGCCAAAACCACCACCCGCGCGCGCGCCCTCCCTCACCCGCCCGGCCGGCCCCGCCCATCTCCCCCTTTTCCCCCGCCCCCTTTCCCTCTCGCCACCAATCAGCGCGCCGGAGGCCGCCCCCGCGCCCCGCCCCCTCTCTTCCATCGGCCAATCGCGGCGCGGCGAAGGGGCGGTGCGCGCGCGCGCGCGCTGGCGCGCGGCGGGCGCGAGTCCTTGGCGACGGGGAGGCTCCGGCGCGGCCGCGCTGGGGGGACCCCGGGACCGGGAATACCGGGACCGACCCGCCCATGGGGCCGGGACAGGACGAGGAGGAGCAGGAGGAAGAAGAAGAAGAAGAGCAGGAGCGGGTCCCGGTGAGTACGGCTTCTTGGGGGCGGGAGCAGCTCCTGCCCGGCCCGAGTTGGGGGGCGGCGGTGGGGGGTGTGACAGGCTGGTTCCAACTCGTGTTTCTCCTTATGCTGGTGGGATAAGTGGGCTGAACGCACCTTCTGCCCCATGAAGGGGCTTTTAGCAGGTCGTTCTTCCATCCCAGAGCAAGGGGGGACGCGACTGAGCTGAGCCCGCCCTTCCCCTCCTGCTCCAGGGGGGCTCTGACCGGGCTGGTCCTTCCATGCCCTGCGCTCTTCCCTGGGAGAAGGGTGGACCCTCCTCCCCTCCTGGGAAAAGGGCGTTTGTGTTCTGTTATTACCCTAGTTACGATTTAATAACTTTAAATTAGCAGTTATTCTGTTCTCTTTGTGCCTTGTTGTGCCCTGGGGAGGGGTGGGTGTTGCTGGCTGGGTCACTGACCCTTCTGGGAATGCAGGGACAGAGGGGCTGGAATCATGGAATAGTTTGTGTCTGAGAGACCTTAAACCCATCCAGTGCCACCCCCTGCCGTGGGCAGGGACACCTTCCACTAGCCCAGGTTGCTCCAACCTGGTCTTGGACACTTCCAGGGGTGAGACAGCCACAGCTTCTTTGGGAATTCCATTCCAGTCCCTCACCACTCTCCCAGGGAAGAATTTCTTCTTAACATCTAATCTGAACCTCTCCACTTTAAATTTAACTGTGTTTCCCCTTGTCCTGTGTGAAAAGTTGCTGCTCCCCATTTTTCATAAGCGCCCTTTAAGTACTGGAAGGTCCTGGAGCAGTGGAAGGTGCTGGAGGTCTCTCCCTGAAGCTTTTCCTTCTCCAGGCTGAGCTGGAGTGGCCCCTTGGAGCCTCTCATTCCCTGGAAAGGCTCACACCCAGCCCTGTGCACTTTGCTGTGTTCATATCAGTGCTGGAGGCAGGGAAGAGATCTCTGGAGCTCGTGTCCCATCACATCCTGCCACCCCCTGTGCTCTGGAATCAGTGTTTTCCTGCACTTCCCTCTGGTGAGAGCATTGGGAAGATCCTTCCCGTGGAGTTGCACTTCTCTGGAGTTGTGTCCTGCTGTTCCCAGGGTGGTTCCCAGAGGTGTGAAGGGCTTGGGGAACCTGCCCAGGTTTCTGAGTGTTGCAAAATGTTGGGAGGTACCTTTTGTGTCCTTGAACAGCCCGGGTGGGACACTTGGGGCTGGGGGTGTTTGTGGGTGTCACATCCGTCGTTCTGCGCCAGGGAAGGTGCGAGAGGACAACCCAAAATGCAAATGAGCCTCTCAGAGCTTTCAGCCCAGAGCTCTCAAGGAACTCCAGAGGTGCCACAGCCACGTGGTGACCAGGGGTAGGTGCCACATCAGCTCTTGGAAACCTTCCTGGGAAGAGCCAGGGACTGGGAGAGGTTCAGTCCTACCAGGGAAAATAACAAAGACTAAAACAAAAAGTAGGAAAAGGCCGTGGGAATAAATCTGGTGTGTTAAAGGCAAGTCTGACTTTAAGGATCGTGGGAATTGGGTGCAGAAGGACTTGCCCTGTGTGTTTTCAGGAAGGATAATTTGCCCCAGGACAGCAGGGATGGTTCTTGCTCTAATACTTATTCTTCTATATATTTAGATAGAAATGAAGTTCCTTTAAGTGCTGCTTTACAGACAAATTCCAACTTCATGATTCTAAGCTGTGTGTGATGTTATAAACCAGTGGATTTACCTCCTGCTGCTTGTTTTATCCATCACAAATCGGGTGGTTTTGCTCCTTTTTGGGTGTCAGGTTCTGTTGTGTGGGGTTTTTTTTGGAGGCTGTTGCTTCCTCCTCTGGGTTTGTTTTGCTCTGGGCTTTAAGTGCTGCTCTGACAACCTGAGCTTGGCTCTGGGAATTCCAGGTGGGAGCTGAGCCAAGCTTGTTCCTCCCTGACTGCTCCTCTGGGGCAGGAGCAGAGTAACCCAAAAGAATCTTCTGCCTGTTTATATATTCCAGTTTTATTAGTGAAAACATTTTGCCCGTTCCCTCTTTCAGTTTATTTTCGATTATGAAGATGATTTAATCCAAGTTTTTGACTTTTGCACTGAGCTAAACATAAATATTACAAATCAGATCCAGGAGGATCGAGCTTTTGGTTTTCATTCTTAAATGCTGCAAATTGGTGGCTTCATTCCAGAATGTTCATTACTCCTTGGAAATTTTACTTGTTCTAATTGGAAATGAGGCTTGATCAAGGCTCCCTTTCCTAGGAGAGCTTGGACCAGGTGATCTTTGGGGGTCCCTGTTCTTTGACACCCAAAATAATTAGTTGAGAATTAATAGAAAGAGCTTGAATTGCAAAGATTTTAATGTGGAAAATTCCAGTGGTGATTTAATGTAGAAAAGATAAAAGAATGTACATTTTCTTAACTATAATTTGTGTGATACAAATGGTATGATTTTAAATAATTATAAATTAAAAATCAAGGGGTACCCAGAGCTTTCTCAGTGTTCCAAAGCTGAGGATGTGAAGAAATAGTTGAGCTTCTCATTGTATAAAAT